TCGCCGCCCATTTGGGATACGTGATTTATCGTATACCCTACGGCTCAGTATGAATTTAAAGCATTGGGATTATTCCATGGAAATGTTGATATCAATTTCTTGATATTCTCTTTCATTAGATATCAAAATGTAAGCAATATTCCTTTAATCAAGAGTTTTCGTGGGATATCCCCAAAATGTAATTAATCAAAGAAACATATTTCTTTGGGAGTTGTTCCTGACACCACAACAAAATATAAACTTTTGATTCTCTAGTTATAGATGCAAGAAATGTATATAGGTCTTTATCGTGGAAAAGCTTTCAAGGTAATATGACCATTTTTTTTTTTGCATACACTCTTGATTTATTTCACGAAGACTATCTTATAAAAATTCCGTGTGTTCTTTTTTTCTTTGTTTGTTTATGTTCATTTTTTTTTTTCTTCATTTCTAAATATTTTCTTCTCCAAATCATTTTGATGATTCAAGAAAAAAATGTTACTTGAAAAAGAGAATCATAAAATAAAATTAGACAAGTTGACGCTTCAAGTCAAAAAGAACCAAAACATTTGGTAAATACAAGTTCTAGTTTCTTAAAAAAAATTCTATAATACACATTATTAGAGTTTCTAAAGTTCAATCAACTCTCTTAATTTAGCTCTATTAGTTTGAGAACGGAAGGCAGATGATAATTTCAATTTCTTGACTAATAATGTCACAAAATTTTTCGAAAATACAAAACAAAGTGAACATCAAGGTAGGATATAATGGTTGAACTAATGTCATATAAACATTGATTTTCTTAAGAAATAATCTTTGAATATAGGAGGTATCATTAGTTTTAGACATGGCAAGAGTTGGTCCACTTTCGAGAAGCGATCAACTACAATAAATATATTATAATATCGTCAAGCTATATAGAGCAATCCTAAGATAAAATCTATGGAAAGATCTTCTTTAGACCTATAGGGGATGTGCAACAAAATGTATTGACTCAACTTTTTTAGTAGATGTTGCTTGTTTTTAGGTTAAACATTGATCCTCAATTTAAAATATTTAACTCAAGTGAAAGCCAACAAAATTGGCTTGATTAAACATATGGGTTTATTCACTTTAAAATGCCGAATTATTTCTATGAAGTGTAACTGGGAGATTCAAAATTCTATATGTGAAGTTCTAGGAATACAAATTTATTTTCTTTTATATAGATATTTATTAATAATAGAAAATATTATTTGAATTAGGGCTGTCAAAAAAGCTCGTTGTTCGCGAGTTGAACAACTCGTGTTCGGCTCGTTAAGTAGCTCGTGTTCGGCTCGTTCGTTAACGAAT